GGTTCCCCTTGACATTTAGTCCAGTTGTGTCTGACTCTAGGGCGCGGTGCTCATCCCTGTTTCCAAGCCGTAGAGCCAGCATTTGACAGTTTCCGTGGCCACGTGGCCAGCGCGACTAGACACAGAACGCTGTTATCTTCCCACCGAGGTGGTACCTATTTATCTACTCGCATTTTTACATGCTTTCGAACTGCTAAGTTGGCAGGAGCTGGGACAAGCGATGGGAGCTCACTCCGTCGCGTGGATTCGATCTTACGACGGCTGACCTTGCAGCATAAGACGCTTCTGTGGTTTAACCCGCAGCTCCACCACGTCCCCTTGCGGTGTCATAGTCCCTTGTCATTTGTTTACAAATAAGTAGAAGCACCACAGAGCCGGGGGAGCAAAGCAAGTGATGGCTGTGTGTCCTAGTGGTCACAGTGCCAGAGGAGGATCCAGGAGACCCAGTGTCTGTCCAGACTCTGCTGTGAACTTCCCAGGGTAGGTTCATTTACACAGCCCTTTGCATTCTGTCCTATGTATCCTGTTTTTGAAGAGCAATTAATAGTTATTAAAGATCATTCATCCAACTCTTTGTAGAGAGGAAACAACGACAAACCCGCGGCCATCCTGAAAGGAGTGTGTTCTGGGAGCTGCCGTGTGTAAAACATTAACTTTTCCCACTTCGGGTTCCTCCAGTCTGGGCAAAGGCTTTTGCATAGTCAATGAAGCAGAAGTAGATATTTTTCTGGAACTTTCTGGCTTTCTCTATAATCCAGCGCATGTTAGCAATTTCATCTCTAGTTCCTCTGCCCCTTCGGAATCCAGCTTGTACCTCTGGAAGTTCTCGGTCCACATACTGCTGAAGCCTACCTTGTAGGATTTTGAGCATAACCTTGCTAGCGTGTGAAATGAGTGCAATTGTACAGTAGTTGGAGCATTCTTTGGCACTGCCCTTCTTTGGGATTGGGATGTAGACTGATCTTTTCCAATTCTCTGGCCACTGCTGAGTTTTTCCAAACTTGCTGGCAAATTAAATAGTTCAAATGGTATGTCATCACCTCCACTGGCCTTGTTGTTAGCTGTGCTTATTAAGGCTCACTTGACTTCACTCTCCAGGATGTCTGGCTCAAGGTCAGCAATCACACTATCTGGGTTGTCCGGGACATC